TGGTTGGTTAAAATCTATGCAATAAGTAGGCACAGCAATGGAAGCATGAATTTCTATCTTTGCGGAAGAAAGGGAATACAGTAGTTAAATTGGTTTGCAGTGTGAATTGAGACACATAGGTGAGGCAAGTAATTGATGGAAAGTTTCATGATTTTTGATTCAGTGTGTTCATTTAATTTGTGTGGTAATTAGTGGCGACTGTGAAGTTGTAGGAGGGGAAAAATAAAACAACTCGGGGAATAAATGAATGAAATGTGGAGATAAGTTAAAAGAGGAGAAAGAATAGAGGAAGGGAGGCTAGCAAAGAGGCGATTGTATGCATCCCAAATTATTACTGTGAGTATGCAAATAAAAAATATTCCACACAATACTGAGGATGATGAGAAATTGTGGCAAATTAATTTTTAAACTGCTACTGCAGAGTAAGCTCATCCACAGCAAGAATCTTCTCACATTTATCTTTATATCTCAAGAGTTTAGCCTAGAGTTGGCACATTGTTGTCAAATGAATGTCTGCTGAATGACTTAATGACTGATAAGGACTAAAAGATGTGAAAAGTAAGTTAATGTTTCCTTAAATGTTTGAATCTTAAGCTCAATACATGGGAAGGACAACAGCACAAAACAAAGGTGATTACATAGTGTGCTATAATTCCTTAAGAATGGTTTCTGAAATAGGCTGTGTGGAGCTACCAGCTTCGGTAGATTCACTGTAGGACAAAAGGTCCCTATACTAATCTCATCTGGGCCCTCGAACATTCTGTCCAGCTAAGGCTGGTGATCAAGAATTCTTCCTGGACTATGAAATGGCCCAAGAAGTACTGGATCAACGTGGGACCATACTGATAAGCTCCTGGGGCTAAAAGAGGGCAGCTCAAACCAGACTTTCTGCTCTTCTACCTAGCTCTAAACTTTATGTCCCATGCCAGAGAATTCTATGGAATAGAGTCATTCTGCCCCTGGGCTTCAGTCTAAATTTGATGGTGCTTAATGAGTGGTTTTTGCTCACCTTTTTTTTTTTTCTGAGAAGAGTTTTTGGCACTCGAAGGACAGATCTTTTGAAAATCCTGACATTTGGACTTTTATCTTTGGGGAATGGATGTGAAAACACACTCTGGAAAATCACAGACTCCTAATGATTTTAACATTAATTTGGCAACTTAAATGGCAGACAATATTTAAAGATGGGCGTTATCTCTTTTATGCCACACTGTTCAGTCTGTCTTGGTTTCCTGGTGCAACTCCAAATTGAGAACCTGGAACAATGCCTGACACAAATTAGATGCTCAATTAAAGCTTATTGAATGACTTAAGGTTTCTTTCTCCTCTGAAGCAGCTGGCTTACTTAGAAACATTTGAAGGATAGCTGGATAATTTAGGGCCATCTAGGAGTTCAGACTCATATTGAAACACTAGAGGACCAGTGCACAAAATTCATGCACTGGTAGAGTCCTTAGTGGCTGCCGGCTGCCGGCTGCTGGCTGGGGCCTCCCTCCCTTCCCCTGGCCGCCTGGTCGAACTCTTGGACAAACTCCCAGTCAAGGGAACAATTTACATAGTATATTTTTATTATATAGGATACTAACAACTGGCACAGTGCAGACAGATCATTTCTCTGGAGACATCGTTTCCTCAACCTATTCCTGAAAATTATATCATTGGCTTATATGTTATGGCATGAAATCTACTCATCTAATCAGATGTTAGAAAAAGGAAGGGAAGATGTTTAGAGAGAAACAGAGTTGTGAAGCACTTTTAACCAAATATTGTTTGACCCAAAACTAAGCCCTTTATATAAAGCAGAGCTTTCTGGAAACACTTTTATTCAGCGATGGAATCTTATCATCATCTTTGGTGAAATAATTCTTTGGTTGAAAAGTAAACAGCTAGCTAAGAAGTCTGATATCAACCATAGACAGAAACCTTTTCAATTAGAGCTTTTAAGTTCTAGACTTCAAATACTTTCTATATTATGGAGTGAAACACACTAACGGACTCTCAGCTGTCCATACATATTTCCCAAACCTTAAGTGTCGACCAGTTTATATCTTACAGTGCTTCACCCTGTAAAACCAATCACAATTTATGGACCATGACAAAAAACTCAGATATTTGATTTTTCTCTTTAATTGTAAATGGTATCATATAGTATCATTTAACCAAGGTATTGTGTACAAGTTTTTTGATTCTTTGCACACGGAGAAAATTCTTCTTGCTTCAAAGCACATTTTACCTATGCTGTTTAAGTTTGTCCTCCACATGTTAAAAATACTAAAAAGGAATGACAGGAACCCCAAGGTCATCACACAATAGTGCGAAGAATGGAGGGCTATGTCTAAAATGGGACCCTGTAAGACATAGCTGTCGCCAAAGAAGCTGTCATTCCAACCAAACAACCTAGGGCAATTTAGTCCTGAACTTCCAGCACTGTTGCCATGGTTTCTAGACAAAGCCGACAGGGCTGCATTCCAATTATATCCTTCAGAATGACAGATAACTTAAAAAATTGAAAATGGGGTAATAAAATTTCAGGTCACCCCAAAGAGATGTGATAGATACGTGTGACAGAGAAGTGGGAGATGCAAGTTTATGTTGGTCTAGAAAATGCTTTTGTGCCTTACAATGCAAATGTAAATTCTGCAGACTCTCTGCTCTTCGATAGCAATTTATCCATCATCCAGTTCATTAGTCAAAACCAAGCATCTCTTGCTTAATAGATAATTTCTTAATAATATTTTAAACTTAAAAAATTCAGTAATTAAGAGAATTTAAGAAAAAAAATCTCTTGAACTCTGAAAAGTAAAAAGAATCCCTTGGATTCTGATGATGGCGCAAATATAGCAAGGCCATTTTTATCTTTAATTTTTCCCAGTTGAAGGTATTATTGTAAACTTTGCATCCGGCTTTAGGCAATATCTGCCAACCAGTGGTATTTTGCCAGGGTCAGCAGAACACCTGTGGCTGTGCTATTAGACTATAGTGAAGTCACTTGCCTCTGTTCAATGAAAGGAACCATTAGGTAGAGATCAATGAACTTAGGACGGTGTTGGCAGATATGACTGGAGAGTCAGATAACTTCATGATCCTGCATCTCTGCAGTTAAGCAGGAATGGGGCATTTTAATGCTTAATTGGCACCTGGTAGTTTATTTAATCTTTAAAAGTTAAAAATAATTGAATCTAAAAATCTTTTAAAACCTTAAGTCTCAGTTTCTTCATCTGTAAAATGGAATCATACCTACTTCTTAGATCTGTGATTTTAAATTAGATGATGCATATAAAACACTTATTCACCTTCTGGCTCATGCCACTAGGTAAAGGTAGTAAATGCTATCATTATGACTTCTATAGTTGTTACATACAATGTGATAACTGTGCAGCTGTAACAGAGAAACCAAAAAGACACCTGGTAAATTCAAGGATTTTAAACCATGTATTTATAAAAAGGTTAAGAAAAAAGTAGCTTATATGTGATATTAGATGTATTTGAAGGATGATGAAAGAAAAGCACTAATTTAATAAATGGCATTTCAAGGTTTACTGCCAGCATTGTGAGATGGAAAATTCTAGATGTCTTGAAGCCTGCAATCACGCCTCCTGAGCATCTCCTTGTGAATATTTATTTTATGACTCTTTAGGACAACATATCATTTTGGTTAACACATTGAATATAGCTGCTACAGTTCTATGAAAATCAGTTTTTATCACTTTCTTTTTATACATCAATTCAAAAAGTTTAACTAGATTCCTGTCTGACTTTTACTGTACTCACAATACTTTTTTTTTTCTCAGCCAGAGTTGGTTTGATTTCATAATGGCAATAATTAGAAAAAGCTGATTTACTTAATAAGATATTTTTATATAATAAATCCTGCGAGAATCAATCTATTTTTATATAAATTGTGATAATGATAATATAAAAAAAGAAAATGATTTCTTTCTGTTATAAGACTGCTTTTTAGAAACAAAAGACATATTGGTGGTTTGGAGTACACCTTTTTGCACAGTTTATTTTGCTTTGCTTTTATGGTCTTCACATGTGGTAAATTTTTTCATTTATTTGATAATCTATCATGTACATCTATATGATAAAGCATATAATTTTACTGAGTGTTAATGGTCAAAACAAATAGATACTTGGGTAATTTCAGATAAAAATAAGTTTAAAAATTTTTCTTATTTTGGAATTACATAAAAATAGCCTTAATTTGTGATTCATATTTCAAAATTACTCTTCTGTTATTAAAATTTTGGAATAACTGGTTATGATCAAAATGTGAAGTACTATTTCTAGAACAAATAGAAAGGGCAAAAGCTCCAATACATTTGCTTTCTTTCATCTTAATTCTTCTATCCATCTTTCTAAGTGCTCAGAAGGAATGCACTGGTCAGGGGAATAGTAGGTCTGTTGGCGAAACAAGTTTCCAACCTGCAAATGGGGTTTTGAATTATTTATATTCTGCATTTCTTTTATGGCATGGCTATGTCTCACTGAAACATCAGAAGGAAGTAGATTCTCTCATTCAGTGGCTGACTTGGAAAGACAGTGTGTCTATTTTCATCATCTCACAACATCTATATATATAAAAGCCTAACTGCTGGTTGTCCCTCCAACCATTTGACCATTCAACCAGTCACTATTACACGCACTGACCACTAGGGGGCAGATGCTCCGACCCATAGGTTAGTTTGCTGCTGGGGTCCGGCTGATCAGGACAGATGGGCCAGACATGCCCTGGATCCCTCCCGTGGTCCTTCCCCACCCCGGTCGAGCATCAGCGGGGCCCCTCGGCCTGGCCTGTGCCCTCTCGCAATCTGGGACCCGTTGGGGAATGTCGGGAGAGCTGGTTTCAGCCTGATCCCTGCAGGCCAGGCACCCCACCGGTGCACGAATCTGTGCACTGGGGCTAGTAGGTCATAAAATGAAATAATGACATTCTATCAGACTTGTCAAAATTAAGTACATACTATTATAGTGTGAAGAGGGTCTTGGTGACTTACCTTAAAAGAGATTTCATACTGTTCTCCTCCCCAGATTTCTAAACCTGGATCATAGCCACCTAACTCCCAAAACCATTTGCGATTGACAGCAAAGAGACCTCCAGCCATCACAGGAGACCTGTGGAATGAACAAAATAATCTTTAAAGGACAATGAATATCAGGGGCAATAGTGTTTTGCTTAGGAAAAAAAAAGAAGCAAATTCAAGACATTCCCAGTTGTCAATGGCATGGAACTTTTTAGCACTAGCTTTCTGTAAGTGGATTTAAGGTTCTCACATGGTCTGTAAATGCTCTTGGAATTCTCGTGAGTGTTAAACTCTGCAGGTCAGGTCCTAATGCCACTAATGTCCTGTGGAGCCACACTTCCTCCATATGTTTATCATTAGGGGGAAATACATGATGATTAATGACTGTTCTATTGAGAAATATCACTCAATTTTATGTTTTTTCCTCAAAGTGAAAGAGATCTTATCCTATCAGACAGATAAAAGCATAGAAATTGCTGCTGTAGACAAACATGTTTGATTAAATCTCTTAGTACAAACTCACCAAGCATCTGCCAATTACAGGTCATGTCCGTTTTGCAGACTATCAGATAGACAGTTGGACTATAATAAGCCATCAGAATTAGTTAATTAACATGCCAAAGATGGAATTAAACTAGGTCTTTTAAGTTTAATTAATTTAGATTTTCTCTGCTTTTCTAACAAATATTCCTTTTGGTCAAATAATTTTTCAGCATTCTACTCCTACTAGGATGCACTTTACACATGTTGCTATATAATGGGATAATTTATACTCATTGGGCCCTGCCCTAAAATATTTTGTAGTTCAAAGGTAGCTCTTGTATTTTGAAATCTCACTATGAGCCGGGCTCTTGGCTAAGAGCTTTATCCCATTCCCTTGATTGATCCTCACAGCAACCATACAAATATCATCCCTATGTCCTCTTTGAAGAAAGAGGCAGAGAGAGGTTAAAAGCAGTGCCCAAGGCTGAATCTAGTGTATGGTGGCCCTGGGACCAAGGTCCTCTGATTTCAAAACCTCTGAGCTCTTTATCAGACAGTTTTCTTTCAGTGTTTGGGGGTGAAGACAGACAGCTACATAAATGTAGATATCAAATAATTAGAGAATACCCTATGCAGACGAACATTGTCAGCACAGTTTTGGTGACAGTTTTGAAAAAGTTTTTGAAGCAAAGGATCTTTATCAATAAGAGTAAAAGACATTAAATGTTGAAGATACACATTTTAAAATATGTGTACATATTCCAGGGGTGGGCAAACTTTTTGACTCGAGGGCCACAATGGGTTCTTAAACTGGACCGGAGGGCCGGAACAAAAGCATGGATGGAGTGTTTGTGTGAACTAATATAAATTCAAAGTAAACATCATTACATAAAAGGGTACGGTCTCTTTTTTTTTTTTTTAGTTTTATTCATTTCAAACGGGCCGGATCCGGCCCGCGGGCCGTAGTTTGCCCATGGCTGTATTAGACACACTAAGTTACAGACCCACCGAAGACTTGTTTTTGGTAATATTTAATGTAGCACTTGAATTTAAACTTAAGTGCATTATATATGTCAATGACTTTGCATGTTGAGATGGTACTTAGCCTACTTCAGTTACGAATCTTTTTTTTAATGTCTAGTAGACTGTATGAAGATGAAAAGATTACATGGCAGGAAGAGGGATTTATTTTTCTCCTGAGAAGTGAGTAGGATTAAAAAAATAACATAAAGAATCTCATGCAGTTTTTTATTTTGTTTGAAATAAAAATCCTAACCCAGCCTGTGTGGCTCAGTGGTTGGGCATTGACCTATGAACCAGGAGGTCACTGTTTGATTCCTGGTTATGGCATATGCGTAGGTTGTGGGCTCCATCCCCAGTGTTGGGTGTGCAGGAGGCAGCCAATCAATGATTCTTTCTCGTCATTGACGTTTCTATCTCTCTATCCCTCTCCTTTCCTTTCTGAAGTCAATAAAAATATATTTATAAAAAAATTCTAGAATCAAATGTTCCCTATCTCCAGCAGCCTAATCTTTTTCTGTTTTCCATGCACTGAATTTTTGAGGTGAATTAGAACTGTAGCTGGAACAAATTGGGACTGTAACATGTATTGGGTGCAGCTCCCAATGGACCCATTACTACAGTCTAACCTTTGCTTTGTAGGGTTTGGGTGTAAGTGATCAGGCATTCTCAATCTGCCTTCCGAGAGAACACCCCCCCCCCCCCAGTGCACAGATTTCATGCACTGGGCCCTCTAGTGAGTTTATAAAAAACAAACCATGTAGCATATTTTAGGTTAATTGTAGAGAAAATAAAATACATTCAAATGGATCTTTTTTACCAGGCCCAAATAAATTAGTGTTTCATATATATATATATATATATATATATATAAATAAAATTTAAATATATATTTATATATAATATATATATTTTAAAGAGAGAACATAATCTTATAAAAATATATTTTTATTGATTTCAGAGAGGAAGGGAGAGGGAGAGAGAGATAGAAACATAAATGATGAGAGAGAATCATTAATCGGCTGCCTACTGCATGAGCCCACAACCCAGACATGTGCCCAGGCCAGAAATTGAACCATGACCTCCTGGTTCATAGGTCGAGGCTCAACCACTGAGCCACACCAGTCAGGCAGTGTTTCCTATATTGATTAGTATGAATGACAGGTAAAAAAACAAACCTTTGATTTATTTATGTATTATTCATATTTGTTCATTAATCTTTTAAATACTGTAATTAAGACACAGTTGACATACAACAAAATACACATTTTAAAGTGTACAATTTGGTAAGTTTTGACTTATGTATGTATATCCCTGTGCAGCCACCACCATATTCAAGAAAAAGGACATATTCACCATTACGAAAGTTTCCTTATTGTAATCCCACCCTCCACCCTTTGTTCATTCCCTTCCTCTATACAACACTGAGCTGCCTTCTGTCACTATAGATTAGTTTGCATTTTCTAGATTTTTATACAAATGAAATCATACATTATGTACTCTTTTTGGGGGGTCTGACTTCTTATATTTGACATCATTGACAGTCATTGATGTTGTAGCATGTATTAATAGTTCATTCATTTTTTTATTGCTGAGTAATATTCTGTTTGCATGAATAGACCAGTTTGATTATCCATGTACCGATTGATGAACATTTGGGTTGTTTCCAGTTTTGGACTATTACAAATAAAGCTTCTATGAATTGTGTGTACTAGTCTTGGTGTGGACATATTCTTTCATTTCTCTTGTGTAATGACTAGATCATATATGTTTAACCTTTTAAGAAATTGCCAAATTATTTTCCAAAGTGTTCGTATAATTTTATGTTTTCGCCAGCAGTACTAGAATTCCATTTGTTCCATATCCTCTTCAATAGTTGATATGAACAGTCTTTTGAAGTTTAGTGTTATAATAGGAATATAATGGCATCTTCTTATGGTTTTGTTTTTCATTTCTATAATGATTCATGCTGTTGAGCATATTTGTGTCATTCCTCTTTTTTCTTCATAGTCAGTCTGGCTAGAGTTTTATCAATTGTATGGATCTGTTTAAAGAACTAGCTTCTGGTTTAATGAATTTTTCCCTATTGTTTTCCCTATTGCTAATGGAGTTTTATCAATTGTATTGATCTGTTTAAAGAACTAGCATTTGGCTTAAAGGATTTTCCCCTATTGTTTTATATTTCATTGATTTCTCTTTGGTATTTATTATTTTAATTCATCTACTTACTCTATTTAATTTGCCTTTTTTCTAGTTACTTAAGTTGGAAGCTAAGATTATTGATTAGAGACTTTTCTTTTTTTCTAATATAGGTATTTAATACTATAAATCTCCCTTAAGAGCTGCTTTGGCACAATCCTTCACATACAAAAATCATAAGTAGTATTCCAATTTTCATTATGTTCAAAATAATCCCTAATTTTTCTCTTTCTTTTTTAAAACTTATGGTTTAAACAGAAGTATATAATTTAGTTTCCAAATATTTGGTGATTTGTCTAAGATCTTTCTGTTATTGATTCTCATTTAATTCCACTATGGTCAGAGAATATACTTTATATAACTTGTAACCTTTTACAATATACTTTGGAATGGCTCAGAATATGGCCTATCTTGGCAAATGCTCCACATGTGTTTGAAAAGAATGTGTATTCTGCTGCTGTTGAGTGATGGTTTATAAATATTTATTAGGTAAAGTTAGTTGATAGTGTTCAAGTCTTCTATATTCTTATTGATTTTCTGTCTCCTTGTTCCTTCAATTATTGAGAGAAGGATTTAAATATATGGCTCTAATTCTGGATTTGTTTATTTCTTCTTTCTGTTCTATCAGTGTTTTTGCTTCATGAATTTTACAGTTCTGTTAATAGGCATAAAAGTTTAGGATTTTTATGTGCCCTTGATGAGTTGACCTCATTATCATTATGAAAGACTTTTCTCATCCCTGATAACAGTCTTTGCTCTGACATCTACAGGGTGTCCCCAAAACATGTACACACATACTCTGAATTATTACAAAGTTATTAAAATACATTTAATGAAATGTATTTTTTTAAATAGATTCAATTTTCAAAATTGAGTTATCAGCTGTTAAAGTGTGTATACATTTTTGGGACAGCCTGTATTTTGATTTAATATTAATATAGCCACTTCTGTTTTCTTTAGGCTTGCATTATCTAAACACTAGTATTTATAACTTTTTATATCTCTTTACTTTAGTTTTTAAATTAGTTGTGTCTTTATATTTAAAGTGTTTTTCTTCTAAGCAGTATATATTTGCATCTTGCTTTTTTTACAATCTCTACCTTTGGGTTTTTTTCTTTTAATATGTTTTTATTGATTTCAGAGAGGAAGGGAGAGGGGGGGAGGGATAGAAACATCAATGATGAGAGAGAATCATTGATTGGTTGCCTCCTTACTCCCCACACTGGAGATTGAGCCTGCAACCCGGATATGTGCCCTGACTAGAAATTGAACCGTGACCTCCTGGTTCATAGGTCAATGCTCAACCATTGAGCCACGCCAGCCGGGCCATTTCTCATTTCTTAATTCTTTTGTTTTGATCCACATTTCCATCTGGCATTATTTTACTTC